TAATTTGATTACTAATACCCATCAATTGTGAAAGAGAATTTATATAATTTCATAATTGTGGGCTCATTTGTGTCCTAAAACATCAGATCCTTCATCAAAGACCCTATAGGACAGGGTCTGCTAAAGTTTTGCATCCTTTCTGTGCATGCACCCCTCTCCCTCAAACCACTGACAGAAGAGGCCATTGATTGGTATCTGACCCCCAGAGGCCAGTTTCCCTTGCTTCCTGACCTAAGCGGATAGGAAGTACAGTATTTTAATTGCCCTCAAACTCACTCTTCCCTTTCTTCACTTTTTGTCTCCCCCACTAGACACTAGCAAGTTATTATTTAAATATTGAATTCTTTATTAAAAAGACTTCTTAGACTGCATAACTTTTTCCCAGATAGTCTTCTCATTAAAATAGGTTTCCCCTGCTATCTGAAAGAAGAGTGTTCCTGTGAAACCTTTTCTAAGCCGAAAATGGTGTAAAGCAAAGAATCAATTACCATTAATATATATGGGGGAAATTTTTGAGCATTTTCCAAACCCAAAAAATAACCTACCAAATCATACTAAGTAACACATGAAACCTAAAATAACAGTAACATATGCTAAAAGCAGAAATGATGTAATAAATACACAGCCTATATGAAGTAGATGCTGAGTGTAGTTCCCGGGGAAGGAGCTCAACTCTCACTGTTCCAGGTGTGTGGCTGCCTCTTTAATGGCTTGCTGCAAAACAAACGTTTAAATGCTGTTTCCGCTTTTAAGTGAAAATCTTCTTCATATTTCTTTTGTTTAGCAAAAACAGGTACTAACATAGATCTTTCGTAAAAGCAAAGTGACATAAAGTGAACTTTCAATAAGCAGGGGATACCTGTCGTTCCTTTTCCATCTTAGTTTCTGTTATTTAGACTCATAACTATGTGAAGAAGAGTGCGGCATCAGGATTGGAGGATGGCTCATTAACCACCTGCAGTATGCAGATGACACAGCCCTGCCTGCTGAAAGTGAAGAGGACTTGAAGCACTTACTGATGAAGATCAAAGACTATAGCCTTCAGTATGGATTACACCTCAACATAAAACAAAGATCCTCACAGCTGGACCAATAAGCAACATCATGATAAACAGAGAAAAGATTGAAGTTGTCAGGGATTTCATTTTACTTGGATCCACGATCAACACCCATGGAAGCAGCAGTCAAGAAATCAAACAGCGTATTTCATTGGGCAAATCTACTGCAAAAGACATCTCTAAAATGTTAAAAAGCAAAGATGGCACTTTGAAGACTAAGGTGTGCCTAACCTCAGCCGTGGTATTTTCAGTTGCCTCATACACACACTAAAGCTGGACAATGAATAAGGAATACTGAAGAAGAATTGCTGCCTTCGAATTATGGTGTTGGCGAAGAATATTGAATATATCATGGACTGCCAAAAGAACCAACAAATCTGTCTTGGAAGAAGTATAGCTAGAACGCTCTTTAGAAGTGAGGATGGTGAAACTTCATCTCACCTACTTTGGACGTGTTATCAGGAGGGACCAGTCCCTGGTCAGAGAAAAAGAGGAAGAGGAAGACCCTCAACAAGATGGATTGACACAGTGGCTGCAGCAGTGGACTCAAGCATAACAATTGTGAGGGTGGCACAGGATTGGGCAATATTTTGTTCTGTTGTATCGGTCTCTATGAGTTGGAACTGACTTGATGGCACCTGACAACAACAACAAGATTCATAATGTTAGACTCATAATATTCTCTTCTCTTCAGGGAACTCATAATTGAAAAGTGGGATTTCTGAGTAACTGATTACAAATTTAAGCTATTGATCCTATTGAACTTATGCTGTGCTCAATAGGACTATAGAACCCTACCTAAAAAACCTTTTACACCGGTGCGTAAGCACTTACATGTAGGAGAGTTTAGTCTTGTAACCAGACAATTGATTTTTGCCACAAGGTAATCTTTGAAAGAGAACACCATCAAAATGAAAGTTTTTTTTTTTTTTGCCTACTTTTACTAGGCGTTATAAATCTAAAAAGAGAAATGCAATCTTGAAACCTTTACACAATCAGAAATAGAAAAAAAGTATCATTAGTCTGCTTTAAAAACGACAAAACTTGAAATTCAAATTGGCCTTTTAAATCACCACACATCAAGGAAAGGCTGAGATTATGAAAGCCACACAAGAAATTCAACAAATGAAAGAAATTGTACCGGAGAAAATATAATATGATAAGGTAATCTGAAAAGAATTTAAGTATATTATTTAACTTCAGAGAGGTAAAGGAAGGAATTTTACCAATGAAATAAGAATTGGAAGTTAAAAAACAACTGACAGTTATGAAAACCCTAATTAGAAATCTTATAAATGAAAATAGATAATTATGAACTCACTAAATGGACTAAATGGTAGGCTTAAGCTAGCTGAAGAGTGAATCAGTAAGCTGAGAGATCTTACTCAGGCATTCTCCTGGAATGTAGCACATAGATAAAGAAATAGAAAGTATGAAAGAAATGTTAAGAGACATGGAAGATCAATCCAGAAGTTCAAACTGCTATCTAATAGGAATTTTAGAAAGAGAATAGAGAGAATGTAGGAGAAGCAATGTTTAAGGTATTAGTGGCTGAGAATTTCCCACAACTGCAGAGAGATCTCTAAGTACTGAGAAGGAATAAACAAAAGTTAAATGATAGTTACAGTAAAACTTCAGAACAATGATGCTACATAGAAAATCCTAAAAGCTCCTAAGGAGGAAAAAAAATTACCTACAAAGGAACAATAGTAATTCTGGTTCTAATATGATAATGAAGCAGTATCTTTCAAGTGCTCAGGAAAAATAACTGTCACTGTAGAATTTTATACCCCGCCAAACTATTATTTAAGAGTGAGGGAAAAATAAATACCTCAGAGACAGAGGACTCAAAAGATTAACAACCATGGGTCCTTGCTGAAGGAACTTCTAAAGGGATGTACTCCAACAAGAAAAATGAACTTTAAAAGAAATAGCAAGCTGCCAGAAACAATGGTGAACAAATAAATCAACAAAACATGTTGATAAATCTGAATAATTATCGATTGGAAATAAATATATTTAAGTTTATTTTTGAATCAAGGTAGAACTAATTCTAGAAGATAATATGAAGAGAAGGGAGTTTGGGTGTGTGTTTGGGAGTAAGAGGAAGAGCAAAGGAAGTTAAAGGGGTGACTACTAGCAAAATAAAAATAGCATATACAATTCAAAACTGTAGAGGGGGAATGGAACAAAAGGAAACTTGATGAGTACAACAGCAAGCAGAACTGAAAGGAAAAATACATAGCGCCGTACCATGGTAATAGAAAACACAAGTCCAAACGTATCAATGATCATGTTGTACTCTGTTTACAACAGTTACACTTAAAATAAAAATACCTCAATAAATTGAAAGTAAAGGACTAGAGAAAGATACACCAGTCGAATCTCTTCTCATCTGAACCGCATTGGGCTCCAGTCTGGTCTTCCTGCTTCCATTCCCGCTCATTGACACCCCATCACTCCATCCATTTTCCACACAATAGCCAAAGTGATCCTTCTAAAGTCTCAGTCAAATTACATAACTTGCCTTTGTTCAAAACCCATCATAACTAGGATAAAATTCAAAATCCTTCCTGTAGCCCCAAACGCCCTGTGGGATCTGGCCTTCCCAGGTATACATTTTATTTATGTTTCTATACATTACAAGAACTGATTGTGTCAGCCCCTACCGCAAAAATCATTTGGAGGGAGACTTTCTACAGTCATCACCACACTGAGTAGTGTTACGTTTTGATGCATACATGCTATGTCTAAAATTTTAACTTATTGTTGGAAAACAGGATAATCATCTGGAACTTACTTTTGCGATGGTGGTCAGTTTTATGTAATTTATTTGGATAGCCTCCAGAGAGTACATTTGCTATAATATAAGCAAAGAGCAAACTTAGAGAAAAAAGGCTGGTGGTTTTCCAATTGCTTAGTAGTGCATCAAATCCAAGCATGTTGTTGTTAATTGCTGTCAAGTTGACTCTGACTCATGGCGACCCCATGTCTTTAACACAACCAAATGTTGCCTAGTCCTGCACCACCTCTTCATGATTGCTGGTATGTTTGATTCCGTTGTTGCAGCCATTGTGTCATTCCATGTCATAGAGGACAGTCTCCCTCACCTTAGCTGGCCCTCCACTTTACCAAACATGATATCTTTCTCCCGCAATTGGTCCCTCCTGCTTACATGTCCAAAGTAAGTGAGCTGAAGTCTTGGACAATATGGTGTGAGCCATAGGGTTTTCATTGACTAATTTTCAGAAGTAGATTGCCAGGCCTTTTTTCCTTGTCTTAGTCTAGAAGCTCCACTGAAACTTGTCCGCCATAAGTGATCCTGCTGGTATTTGAAATACCAGTGGCATAGCTTCTAGCATCATAGCAACATGCAAGCCACCACAGTACGGTAAACTGACAGAAATTTAAGGTCCTGTAATCTAACCTCTCTCCAGCTTTGTCCCTGGGTTCCTCAACTTGAATTCTCTTTTTCTGTTAGAAGGTGATCTAGTCCCATAAAAACCCTGTCCTGCAATCTGAAGTATCCTCTTTCCTCTCATCTAAAAAATGGGCCTAACTCAAAGCCCAGCTGAAGTCACAACACTTTTGGGAAGCCTTTTCCAATCAGAACTGCTGTGGTCTTATTTTTCATCTTTTTTGACTCATATTGTTTATGGATTGTTCTGCTTGTTTTGATGTTTTAATCCTGTCATGCTAATTTTTGGCCTTGCATTGTGTTTAACTATATTGCTAACATTAGTGTGTCTTTTCTGCTTAGCTATAGAATGAGGTCCCTGAAGATTGCATTATTTCTCTAGAGCCTGTATGTCACATAGCAAATCTTAAGTAAAACATTTGCTGAATGAATAGATGAAATGTGTCCATTGTAATAGAGATAATGAGGTATCTTGTCCAACTTTTATTTATTTACTTTTTTTGCTTTTGTTTATTTTTTTGCAGTTTAGAGTGTTTATATCTTGGAGGAAATTTCATCAAAGAAATTCCACCAGAATTAGGAAATCTGCCTTCTCTAAATTACTTGGTATTATGTGACAACAAGATCCAGAGTGTGCCTCCTCAGCTTTCACAGTGAGTAGTTTCAGGCAGTTCATGTATACACAGAAATCCACACCTAGGAGTTAGGTCCTGCATTCACCCACATGTTTTATATGTAGAAAATTAATTAGTGTTCTCAAAGTAAGTGACACAAGAAAATTACAGTTCTAAGGTTTGCTGTGAAGTTGGATTGCTATTTTTAACGTTACTTTTGAACATTCTGGTTTATTCCTCAAAGTATCTGTTCAGCCTGTTGGTGCTAATCAAAATTAGAGCATAAATTTGTCATCTGTTTCTGAGTTGGAATCGACTCGATGGCAACGGGTTTGGTTTTGGGTAGTTTGTGTGATTTGTTTAGTGCCTTTATATTTGATATGAACCATTCTATCCCAGTTAGGCTTTGTACTGTGAAGGATCTTGATTTATATTGTATTTGAAATCTTTTCTTTTTAGATAATCTGAATTACATAGCATGTCAAAAAACAAAAACAAAGTCTCTAAATCTAGCGTTTGGAACCCTGGTGGCATGATGGTTAAGCACTCAGCTGCTAACCAAAAGGTCAGCAGTTCAAACCCACCAGCCGTTCCGTGGGAGAAAGATGTGGCAGTCTGCTTCCGTAAAGATTACAGCCTTGACGCCAATGGGGTACCATATCAGAGTGCTTAAATTCAGCTCTCTAAGATTCCAGGAGGAGCCCTGGTGGCGCAGTGGTTAAAATGCTCCATTGCTAACCGAAGGTCGGCGGTTTCAACCCACCAGCTGCTCCATAGGAAACAGATGTGGCAGTCTGCTCCCAAGAGATTACAGCCTTGGAAACCCTATGGGGCAGTTCTGCTCTCTCCTATAAGGTCACTATGAGTCAGAATCGACTCAATGGCAGTGAGTTTGGCTTGGTTTTTTGAAGATTCCTTGGGCAAAAGTCCATGACGTTTACAAATCTGAGCTCTGATCTAGTTTACAAAAAAAACCCAAACCTGTTGCCATCGAGTTGATTCCTACTCACAGCAACCCTACAGGACAGAGTGGAACTGCTCCATAGGGTTTCCAAGAAGCAGCTGATGGATTTGAACTGTAGACGTTTTGGTTAGCAGCTGTAGCTCTTAACCACTGTGCCACTTCTTATTTCACTTCTGTTGGCCTTAATCTTAATTGCTCATTCTTACGGGGAAATCAAGCTCTTTACATACATACATATATATGTGTGTGTATATACATATGTATGTAAATATATATACAGACACACACATATATACATATATATGGAAACCCTCGTGGCATAGTGGTTCAGAGCTGTGGCTGCTAACCGAAAAGGTCAGCAGTTTGAATCCACCAGGTGCTCTTTGGAAACTCTATGGGGCAATTCTACTCTGTGCGATAGGGTCACTATGAGTCGAAATCGACTTGACAGTAATGGCTCGGGATACACGTACGTACATATATGAAGATTTATAAGGAAAAATACTTAGCCTTCTTGATAATTACGTTGCTTACTGCTGTTGATTTTTGCACCACATTCATTCCAGGTTGCATTCGCTTCGTTCCCTAAGTCTTCACAATAACTTGCTGACGTACCTGCCTCGAGAGATCCTCAACCTTATTCAGCTGGAAGAGTTGAGTTTGCGAGGAAATCCGCTGGTGGTTCGTTTTGTTAGAGATTTAACCTATCACCCTCCAACTCTCCTGGAATTAGCTGCACGGACTATTAAAACCCGAAACATTTCCTACACTCCCTGTGATCTCCCTGGCAATCTTGTCAGATACTTAGGTTTAGCCAGCAATTGCCCAAACCCAAAGTGTGGAGGTAAGTTAATTCATTGTCCATATTTCGCACTCACTTAGCTATTTCTTTTTTCAGACTTGATGAGTTAAGTGTTGCTTTAATTAGCCAAGTCTTTTCTCAGACAAAGGCAGGTGGCCTCTGTTTCTATTTCCTTCATCTTTCCATCTCCTTACCATAAAGTAAGACATTTTACCCTCTGTGGGTTATTTATTTATTTTTTTTTAAATTCTTTCCATAATACTTCAGCATTCTTACACAAGGAAGAATACCCAGAATGTCTCATCCTGTCTTGGAACTCTATGAGATAGTCAACTAAGATGGTAAAATGAGAGGAAGCACAAACTGTCCTAACTATTTTTAAAAAGGGTCTCAAATGTTTAGACACCTTTCATATTTATTTGAAAGACATTTTCTTAGACTCACCATTCTTTGTATCAGGCACCTTTATAGAGAATGATTCAAGATGTATGAAAATACGCTGAATGTGTGTTGATTTCAGGATGTACCCTGGAACTTTATATTTTTCTGAATCCCCGGTTCAATAGTTCTTGAGTTTAGAGCATTTAGAGAGAATTAAATAAGTTATATAATATAAGGCACAGTAAAGTAAGTGTCCTAAGGATTTCAAAGAGAGGGAGGGAAGAGTACATCTAATGATATCTGTAAAAAATGAGATGATTCAAAGGGAACTAACAGTCCTACAAATCAAAATAAAAAACTAGAAAAATATAAAGACTCAGCAAACACAAATCAACAACAATGAAAAAGATGAAAATAAAGAAAAATGATTCAGCACAGAAAATTAAGGGGAACAAAGAAACTGTGAACAGCACACAAAAAAAGACGTCAAAACGACAACACTAAACTCATACTTATCAATAATTACGCTGAATGTTAATGGACTACATGCACCAATAAAGAGACAGAGTGGCAGAGGCAGATTGGATAAAAAAACCACGCTCCATCTATATGCTGCCTACAAGAGATACACCTTAGACTTAAAGACACAAACAAACTAAAACTCAAAGGATGGAAAAAAATATATCAAGCAAACAATACCCAAAAAAGAGCAGGAGTGGCAATATTAATCTCTGACAAAATAGACTTTAAAATCCACCACAAAGGATAAGGAAGGATACTATATAATGATTAAAGGGTCAATACACCAGGAGGACATAACTATAATATTTACACACCCAATGACAGGGCTCCAAAATACATAAACTAACAGCACTGAGAAGAGAGCTCCACAATAGTAGTAGGAGACTTCAACACACCACTTTCAGTGAAGGACAGAACTTCCAGAAAGAAGCTCAACAAGGACACGGAAGAGCTAAATGCTACAGTCAACCAACTTGATCTCATAGACATGTACTGAACACTGCACCCAACAACAGCCGGGTATACTTTCTTTTCCAACGCACATGGAACATTCTCCAGAATAGACCACATATAAGGCCATAAAGCAAGCCTTAACAAAATCCAAAACATCGAAATATTACAAAGCATCGTTTCTGACCATAAAGCCATAAAAGTAGAAATCAACAGAAAAAGCAAGGAAAAAAAATCAAACGCATGGAAACTGAACAACACCTTGCTCAAAAACTATTGGGTTATAGAAGAAATTAAAGATGGAATGAAGTTCATAGAATCAAACGAGAATGAAAACACATCCTACCAGAACCTTTGTGACACAGCGAAAGCAGTGCTCAGAGGTCAGCTTATAGCAATAAATGCACACATCCAAAAAGAAGAAAGGGCCATAATCAAAACATTAACCCTACAACTGGAACAAGTAGAAAGACAGCAGCAAAAGAAGCCCTCAGGTGCCAGAAGAAGGGAAATAATAAGAATTAGAGAAGAATTAAGTGAAATAGAATAGAAGAACAATTGAAAGAGTTAACAAGACCAAAAGCTGGCTCTTTGAAAAGAGCAACAAAATTGATAAACCATTGGCCAAACTGACAAATGAAAAACAGGAGAGGATGCAGATAACCTGTATAAGAAATGAGATGGGTGATATCACAACAGACCCAACTGAAATTAAAAGAATCATAACAGAATACTATGAAAAATTGTACTCTAACAAAT